TGTTTCATTAATTAGCTTAGATAGATTTTAATTTAATTTCAATTCAAAAATAATTAGGTCCGGATTACCATAAATATTTTGATTTATTTATGAATATTTCAGATGTATTAATTGTATTTTAATATCATTTTCTATTATAACCATTGAATTGTAAATGTATTTTAGAAGTTGATAACTTTTGTATTTCATATCGCTTTTACATATATAATATATCAAATTAATTATCTTTTGATGAACTTTGATTTGACGTCCATATTGTGTATATATAATAAATAAATTATATTTATCTTTATAATAGTATAAAATTATTTATTAAAATTAATTTGAAAAATAAAATTATTTCTCAACTAATATATTTATATTTAATGTAGTTATATGTTATAAGTTAGAAAAAATATTATAATATACACATATAAGTCGCACAAGTAACAAGTGTCTTACTAAAATATTCAATAATATATATTTTTTAAAAAAGTATTTAAATTTTTCAACCACTTTTTCTCATTAATTTTAATTTTTTTTTTAAAAAAAAATTGGCAAGCACCCGTCTAATACACCGGTGTTGTACTAGTACATGTATATATTAGGATTTTTGGGCAATTGTTTATGAGATACCTACTCAATTTTGATCAGATTTTCTTTTTCTTTTTAACTCAAAATCTAATTCAAATTTGACTTAATTAATTTTATTCAATTTTATTAATATAATTAAATAATATGAATCAATCCTCCTCACATATGACATCAATTTTAATTCAGTATTTACTCTCATAATTTTAACTCTCTATCACTTTCAATCATCTCTCTCATATTTGTACATTCAATCAACTTTGATTATTATATTCTAAATGCTATTTTAATAAAAACTCCAAATTGACTTTTGTTACACAACACATGCAATCAAAATTAAAATAACTTATATTTGATCACTCCTAAATTCATTAATTAGTTAATAGTAATTAATTTTGGGCAAATAGCCCTATTACCTAATTGGTCAGCCACAATAAAAGGCATCACTAAAGTCCCAACTACCACAAATTTACAGATTCTCTGTACATAGATTCGGTTTTGTTATGAAGTTAACAGTTGACTTTATAATAGAGTCAACCTTTTTATATACAACAAGTAACTCTATTATATATTCTCTGATTACTTAGATAACACTACTATAATTTTATTAATATGGTACGTTTATTTGTTGTATATAGAAGGTTGACTCCGCTATAAAACCAACTGTTGGCTTCATAGAACAACATAGATCTTAGACAATAGTCCAAATTTTGTTCACATATTATATTATTTATGGAGATAAATTTAATAACATCTTTTTATTTCGATTTTCCTTTCACTTTATAGAATTTTGAATTAGTAACAAACACACCCGGGAAAAATTGAAATTACAGTTAATAACTAAAAAAATGAAATCTATATATATAATTATTAACTGATCCATTTAATAAAAACATTTAATAAAACTTATTTTCATTTCCTTCCAAAAGGGGTTACATTTTTTTATTAATTACTCGCTAATCTGCTAAAACTGTTACACCTTAATATATATATATTTCTATTATTTATTTTTTGGATCAGTTACTAAATTAATTCTAAATTTGGAAGCAAAATATTCAAATGTTTAACAGCTAATGTTGGAACTTAAAGTTGATTGAGACATTCGGAGCTGTAACCGGTATATTTGGTTGCATTGTTGGAAGAAAAATATGATTGACACATATTTTTTTCTTTCTAAAAATAAAAAACACCAATAATTTTTTTATTTATGTTAATTTTCTTAATATATGCCACAAGTATTTAAATTATTTTATTCATGTTACTAATGTAAACGTTGCATGGTTAAAATAAAATTTAAATCTCAATTAATTTTGAATGCTAAAAACAACTTAAGGAAAATTAATAATTTTTATATGATAGAAGTACATGTTTAATTAATAAATACAAACAAAAACGTGTTTATATCTGTGCAAATGCACATGATCAAATTCTAATTGCAAGTAATTACTAAGATATAATATCAATTAAACGTTACATATAAAATTATTTCTAACCTATTGAAATCCAATACAAATCACCATAAATTGTCATACATCACTAACCGATGAGAAACAAGAAACCATCTTCTATTGATTTTATAGCCACCCCAATTTAAATGGTTTGTCCTGAATTGGTAATGTATTTATTAGAGTTTTTCTGGAATATTGAATTGTAATATTAGTTATTTTTATATGTAAATCAGATAATTATTTACCCACCATCCGTATATAATTAGTTGATTAAAAATGACAATTTTAAATTGATATTTAACAACAAACAAAATTAAATTTTGAATGTGGCAAACTTATAATTCACCTTCAAATATCTAATATAGTAATATGACTCTAAAACACTGATCAACGAAGATGGGCTGGACATACATAGTTTATGTGAAAAATCGTTTTGAATATTCCGATCGAAACTATGGCCTTTTTGCTATGGTTCCGATCGAATATTCAAAGCATTTTTGACTCAGTGTTAGAGTTAACCC